TGATGCATGAGTTGATAAAAAACCATTAACTTATTATCATCTAAGATATGTAGTTAGCTTGATACTGCCCTTATAACTATAATAAAAAAGTTAACTATCAGAAAATAGTTAAAATCTTACATTGTGTGAACATTAAGAATAAATAATTGATTCACAATGTCACACAACACAAAAAGTTAAAGAATTAATCTTATTAAAAAACTCCAAAACACCATTAATGTTAGAATTTATTATGTAATGAGTTTTTAAACACTCCAAGGTGTGTTAACATTAATGACCTTGTACAAGATTTTTTTTATCATTGAAAGCGACAATACCTTTGAAATCATTAATTATTTTAATCCAGTAATGATACCATATTTTTGATTTGTAAAGAAATTTTTTTTAAATAACCATTTACATTTTCTATGGACTTAATTATCTTTAATATTGTCAAATAATAAACTATATTGGTCGTTATAAAAAGAAATACAAATCTTAGCATGAAAAATTTGAATAGTAAATTACTTGATGTCTGTGCTTGAAATTTACTGTGGATGTTCTCATTTATAGTATCCAACTACCCTAAAATTGTAAATTTGCCAGAAATTGACATTTTTTATGATTTCATTTTATAGACTATCTTATTAGCTTTATAAAAATACCAAATTTATTATTTTTTAACTGAAAATAATAAACTTGTAGTTTATAACAAAAGCTACAAGTGTTTTAGTAAAAGCAGATGCCATTACTTTAAACAAGATGTCGTACTTTAAAACGCGTTTTACGCGAAATGGGTTTTTTAAGTACTCAAACGGGGCCAGCGATTGCTAAAGAAGTTTTGAAAATAATTAACTGGAATAATTTTGTATATGTTCTGTATAATAGTAGAAATGTTGTAACTTTCAGATTTATCAATCACTGTTTCATTATATACTTTTAATTCAGAATGGTCGCGTTTATGTTATTTTTTGTCAATTTTTACCCATTTTTTTCTCCTTTTAGTATTAATAATTTCTTTCTCTCTTCTTAATTTCAGCATATTTTTCTTAAAATGTACTAAACAAATCTAAAAACAACAACAAAAAAAAAATCCCCATATCACCATTTTCTTAAAAAAATTTGTTGCAAGTTGTCGGAAACCTAAAATCTTAATTCAGCATACCTTTTGTAATTTCATAAACTTTTGTAACAAAACTTTTTTGCTTGTGTTTTAACTTAAAATATGACATTTTTAGCAATGTAATAAAAATCGTTTAGTGTTTACATAAATTTGGACTACTACTTGCTACATAAATCAAATTATTAAATCATTCATTTTTTTAAAATTTTTAAAAAACAAATAAGTAAACTAAAGAATTTATTTGCCTCCTGCTGAATAAAAATGGAAAGAAAAGTCAAAATATACACATTTGCATATATATGTGCATACAAAATATATACTTTTTGGTTAAGACAATTATCTAATTTTGTATTAAGAGCAGTTTAGCTCTTCAGTAAAGTAGAGCAAATTATTCTTCCATTAAATGATTCAAGAAGTATGCGATACCAATAAATTAAGAATTAAAATGATACATTCAACATTCTAATGATAATTTCGCTAATTTCTTTTGAGATTTCTAATGCATTAAATGGGTAACTGACTAAATAGCTTATTCAGATGTTTCACCCACAGAGATTAATTTAATTAAGTTTTCTATATTTAAAACCTGTCTGGCTCATTATTTCTCATTTAAAATCAGTTGAATATTACAGAACATGCTTCATACACATGCTTAGTGTGCTTTCTAAAAAGCAAACGTTTAGAGGTTTTTGTCTTCCACAATTATAAAATAAAAATGGTGTGAATACTTTATAAAATTGAAAATTAAAATAAATTTCTTCTATTTTCACATTCTGTTAAGTATTATACTTAATTATATGCAATAAAAAAAATGTGGTCGTTTTTGGAACATTTTGGGCAAAAAAATTGACCGCTTAAGGGGTTAAAAGATGAAAATATGAACTACCTTAGATTTATAAAGAATCCTTATTTAGTATTAGGTAGAACCACTTTTGGCATGTAATATAGCTTGGATTAGCTTAGAAATTGATTCATACAAGTGCTGAATGGTGTTCAGAGGAATATTGTACTACTATTTATTGAAGTATTGTGAAGATTAGGAGAGATGCCGGTGGAGGATAAGATTCCGTTTTAAACGTTTTATAATAAACCATAACGGTTCAATTATATTGATGTCGAATGACTGTGCGGGCAAAGGTAGATGTTTAACTTCAACCTCATGTTCATTAAACCATAATTGGATAAGTCCTGCTCCCTGGATAGGTACATTATCATCCGAAAAATTTCCATCTTCTGTAGGAAACAAAGTTTGCATCATAGGAGAGACCTGATTTGCTAAAAGTTCTCTACGCTTCTCCCCAGTGATCCTTCCTTTCAGAATGACGAATGGTCCAACAGAAAACAACGACTCGGCTGCCCATATCATGACAGATCCACCACCAGGCTTGACAGTTGGATGGAGACAATCATGATCATACGCTTGCGCAGGTGTGTTGTATGGGGAAAGATATTCAACGAGGTGGCAACCAAATAACCAAACGTTCAATCAGAGGCATCTGAACCTAGTGGAACATAGATCTTTCAGATTAAAGGTACTGGGAGGCCGCGAATAGTATGAACAACCATAATTGAAGATGGTGTGTTGCATGTTGTGGACTAAAATCTTGGCATCAGTGTACGGGTGCTTTCCATTGCAACCAGAAGATCTCGAACAATTGTACATCGTGTACTGCAGGACGAAGCCTTTCATCCGTTTCATATACAGAGAATGCAGTTATTACAGCCACATGATCACCCACGACGTATCACGTTTGCACAGTGATTTGTTAACCAAAGTGTGACAGACATGCACTTTGCCAGTTTCGTGTTGTTCAGCAATGAAGCAACCTTTTCACGCGAAGGAGTGTTCAATACGCACAACGCGCACATGTGGGCCTTAAGTAACCCACATAGCACCCGACTACGTGCTGCACAACACCGTTTTACTTTTAATGTGTGAGCGAGTATCGTGGATCATACATCTTACCACCTCGAATGGACTCTGACAAGTAATTCGTCTTTCTACTCGTCTTCCTCGACTTTTCACTTGTTCGGCGCTGCATATGGTTTCAACAGAATGAGGCACCACCCCACTATGGAAGGTGTGTAAGTGACCTTTCGGACCGGACATTTCCAAACACATGGTGGACCAGTCGCTTGGATTCCCAGATCTTCTGATTTATCTTCTCTGGATTTTTTTCTCAGTGTTGCCATGAAGAGACTTGTGTATGACACGCCAGTCAATTCTGAAATGCACGAATATCCATTGCTGTTGCTATGAATACAGTGGCGTTACGTACACCCCCACATTGCGGAGGAACGGCAGGGATTATAGGGAGCCCAAAGCCTGACTGACGCCAAGTACGTATTTGGGTATGGGGTCCAAAACCTGGCTTTGCAGGGAGGCTCTAATGTTCTCCGTTACGACACTGTATGGATATGCTGTGGCTGATCCATGAAACGCTCGGTATTTACGAATATGTAAGCCAATCCATGTCACGTCAGTGTTGTGCGTGCATACATGCCAATGGCAGCAATTTCGAACTCCTATGATGCTTTTATGTCCTACTTTTTTATTTAATATTGTTTTTTTGTGTAATAAAGTGTTTTACACTACATTCTGTGTTGTGGCCTCACTGTCTTTGTGTCTCTTTATCTGGTTAGGGCTACGTTTCTGCCCATGCTTTCTTATGTAATTATGGGTCCTCAGGATTTTCTCTACATCCCCTCCTAGTTTGTACACAGCATTCGGGGACACCCTGTATAAAAAAACTGTTTTTGTGTGTTACTGTTTGTTTATTGCTTGAATTAATAAAATGCTTTGTACATATCTAACAAGAAATGTAAATTTCAATTCTTCAGATGACTGACTTATATATCAGTCGAAGATTATTCTTGAGGTATATTTTTAGAATAATCTGCGCGATTCATATAATTCAATCTATCAATGTCTTATTAAGCAAACGTATGCAGTTACGCTCATCGTTAAACAAGATATGCATGATTTATAGGGCAGAGCGAAGTTTGTCGAGTATACGTTCTTAGAGGTGAATATTAATTTCGAGAATTATTCAAGGTTTCTGTTCTAGAGGATCTAGAAGAGATTTGGAACATAATAAATGTATCGTATATATTTTCAGGATAACTTTTTTTGTGTTTCATTTGTATCCCGATTATATGACTATTTTTTATTAAATTTGTTCCTCTTCTTAAAAAATCTAATTTGATTTCACTATATTTCTCTTTTAATATTGAAGTTTATTTCTTTCAAAGCTACTTTTAACAATATTTTTACTTTCAAATTAGTTTTCCCATTTAATTTTTGTTCCCCTTTTTATTATTTCATTTGTGTTATCATAGAATTTGAGTTATTATTTTTATAGAATTAAGCTTTTAAAATTCCATATCTTTCTTAATGTACAGATAAATTTAAGATTTTTTAACAATCTTCTTTTTTGACTAAATTATTGTTTATACTATCGTTTAGATTGTAGTCGTGGAAAATACATTAAACTTTGCAGATAGACTCTGGTACATTTACATATTCACGTGTTTCTGCATTAATAACATATCTGAAATGCAAATTTTAAGGGATTCAGTGGGTACAAATAAAGAAAAATAGTGTAAAAAGTAATACATAAAAAAAAATTTTAAGTGAATTCCTACTTAAGTCAACAAAGAAAAATTTAATTTTAGTTACTTTTTATTAAATAATTACAATTAATATAAATATGTATAAACATCTAACAGAATCAGGAGTAGCAAAATAGAAAAGAATTTTCGTTGCAATTTTCCATTTTCCTTTCTTTTTATGGTGTTGGACTATTATTATTTGTTTGTTTTACTTTTATTCATTAATAAAATTTAATTTTTCCAATAATAGTATAGTAAAAAGAAATCACATTCTCAGAAATTAGGCCATCTCAGGTGGATTTGAACCCACGACTTTTGCATTAGAAGTCCAACGCGCTAATCATTGCGCTACTGGGACACAGCGACCAATTTCTCCTTTTATATATGCTGTTGGACTATTATTTTTATTTGTTACTATTTATTCATTTTTTAAATTTGATTAATGAATTAATATTTGAAAAAACTGTACTAACATCAATTGTCATCCACTACAAGTATAAAAAATGTATTTGAACTTGAATGGATAAATAGAAAGTGTTTTATTAACGATTGAAAATTTGAACAAGATATATAAATTAATAATTGTATATATATATAGGAAGAGAGTCAGCTATATAATAGTAGGAATTGAAAAATATTAGAACAGCGTCAGTTTTATTTTATATCTGGATGAATTAGTTTTAAAAAAAGAAAAAGAGAAATTTTTGACATTTAGAGAAAAATGATGTGTTGAGAGATATATACTATCTATTTTTATATTTAAGTTTCAAGAGGAATTTTTAGATGTGCAGATATAGTGAATCGGATGTGTTTTTTCAATACATCGGAAAACATAGAAAAGTATTTATTTATGTTCGAAGTAATTTTACTAATCGTGTTTCTTTTTTTAGTATCCACAGTTATTACATTTAACTAAAGAACTCTTCTTTAAATTAATTAAATGTTTTTAGACATAATAACAAATAAAAATATAACAGCATATTATGATTTGAGAAGAAAATTAAAATGAAAAACACATTTTGCTGTAAGAAAATTTCATTTCGAGAAAAATCCATCTTTTCAGAATCTTACCTGATAATCTTACATTTCATTCGAAAAGTAATATTATAGAATGTTTCCACTCAGTAAATTTCCTTTTTAGATACGCGAGGAATATTTGAATCAATATATTCGAAAATAAATCATATCTGGAGGCGTTTCGCAGATTTTACGTGCATTTTATTATTCAAATGGATCGAAATTTTGAAAGTGAAATATGTTGAGGCTGAAAATTTCATGAAATGTTATCCAATGATAGCTTAAAACATTTTAATCAGAGCATCCGAAAGCATCTTTTAAGAGAAAACGTGATATATTTTTTCATGCATTCTCTCCTTTGATAATATAATATACATGATAATATATCACAATTTTGTTCGAAATATAAATAGTTTTATTTATATAAAAAGTGAAATGGCCTACTGAATTTATACACATATCATTGAAATTGTATGCTCATAAGAGCCAAACAATACTATTCTATCTCTGGTCTCATTGACAGTTCTTTGAACACAATTATAATAAACGCTTTGTTTAGGACAGTTTCAAGTTTTCTTTTACTGAAGAGTCAGATTGTAAAAAATATATGACCATTTTAATATTTCATAAATTATGAATATGAAGTAATTTTTCGGAATTCAGATGTAGTAAAGAGATTAATGAGAAAGCGACAGAAAATGAATTGAGTATGAAATTTTAAATATTTTAGTGATAATTAAATCTACTTTTAATGAGCAGATGTGTTTTCTTTTTAACTTTTAGTTCAAATACCCACACTTATTAGTTATTTTTGAAAAATATTAAATTTTGAAACATTCAAAAATATTACTTCTTGAAAGGAATGAGTACATATTAGTTTTCTTTTGAATCCATATAAAGGGAAGATTCTTTTTAAAATAAATGTAATATCAAAATATCAAAAAAAGATGGGTTTGACTGTCAATGAAGAAAACATAAAGTTTATGGCAGTCTTTGACAGGAATTTGAACGAAGGACCACTGACAATATATAATTATGTTTTTGAGGAGGTTCGTCAATTCCAATGTTTAGGTACAATTGTAAATAACAACAATGATATAACGATAGAAATTAAGAATGGAATCAATATAGCTAATAGATGTTACTAGGGTTTAAGAAATCAATTTAAATTTAAATTCATAAGCAGGGAAACAAAAGTACAACTATACAAAATACCTATAAGTCCCATTGTTTTATACTGTAGTGAGTGCTGGACAACGAGAAAACTGGATGAGGAAAACTTATTGAGATTTGAACGAAAAATGTTGATTTTTGGAGCAGTGAAAGAAAATGGGGTGTAGAGAATACCTTACAATTTTGAATAACAAAGAAAGTTCAGAGAACCAAATTGTGACGGATCTATACGCGTTTCTACTAATTACTTCTTTTTTCTTTAAATCAAAATATTTATTTCAACCAACCTTCACCGAGAAACCAAACGTGATTTATGTAAATTTGGTTTTCGCGAGTTGAAGGAGAGTGAAGTAAGAGGTCAAGTTAAGTTAAGTGAAGTAAAGTGAAGAAAGGGAGCTGTCGACACGTAGTTGTTGACAAGTTAAGCGAGGTTGATACGTTTGATGCGTGTAAGGAGAGGTGGTTAATGAAGATTGAAAAGTGGGGTAATTAAATATTACGGAGCGTGGAGTCATCGTCATTGATCCAGCTAAAGATATTGCCTGAAGTTCTCCGTGAAGGAACCGAAGCATTAAGGAATCAGGTATCGTAAAATTGATTAAGTAAAAGCTGATTATTAGTGTGCGGCGTAGTTGTAAATGAGCGTATTTAAGCTATATTAGATTCAGTTGAAGTTCTGTAATATTATCTCCGCCTTTGTGTATCTCACCTCTGCACTCTACCATTGTTATATACCTTAATTAGAATTGTGTTGTGCTTGTTCATAATCAGTAATAAGAATTAATAAATCAAATTAGATTGTCATAATGTCTGTAGATTATTTAGTTCCCCCTACACATCTAGCCGGGTGTACAGATAGACAGGAGGGTTCGAATGTAAGGGGTAACTATATGTTACCACAAAATTAATTAGTAATGAGGGCTTTTTTTCACAACTAAGATGGCTTGTAATATTCAGGTATGATAACAAGAACCCAATTAAGCAAATAACGTTTATGAAACCAGAAATCAAGAGAAGAAGAGGCACACCCCATACAAGAGGGTCAGACAATTTAAAAAAAAAATGCTTGCGAAATATCGGCGTAAATAGATGGAAAACAATTGCAATAAACAGATCGATTGGTTTGAAATAATCGAGATAGCTTTGGCCGGAAATCGGCTGTAGTGCTTAAAAAGAAGAATCAAAATATTGAGCAAAAATTTTTTATGAGTTCTCATTTATTTCGCCGAAATTAAGGTCTCCAAAGCGTACAATATTCAGGTCGAGTCCCAATTTCTTTAAAGCCATTATACTCAAAATGGGAGTTGCTGCATATTAAATGAAGCTGAGACTTAGAATCTCAATTTAATTTTAAAGCGAGGTGTAGAAGCTAGAAAAAGGAGATACTTCTGTAACGGATCTATCTGCAAACCTGTACTAATCCTCTTGGGGTAAATTTATTTCTTTTTAACTGCCGTTCTATTGAAAACTTTCTCCCGAAGAAGACTCGATTTATTCAAATGAATGGTTCGATCTAAGCATTGACTTTTAGCTACACGAAGTTAGTTGAAAGTAGTTGGGAGCTCGTCGAGAGTTAGTCGACGAGCAATTTCTGGATGATTGAATATTTCTAATTGACGATTAAGACATAAGATAATGACGGCCAGAGATCGTACAACTAATAACAGATTACGGATCGTAGACGTCCAAAGTGTTCTAAGAGTAAGTGAATTAGATTATACTCAAATATTAAGTATCTTTTTTACCGTGTGATTTCTCTTATACTTAGTAGTGGTGTGCATTTCCTACCCTGAGTTGTTTTCAATTTAAGTGAGAGAAATAATAAATTGCAATTTGAACTGATTATGGAGGATCTTGACTCGAACCCCCAAACAACAATAGCCGCTGATCGAGCAGGGTTATTACACTTCGTCCTGGTGTCTTCTCAATTTATCCGACAATGGGTTGAATTTACGAAGTACGCTTGTCCACAATAAGTTGCTGTATTGGACATTAATACAATCAAAACAAAAATAATAGGAAACTGGTCCAATACAATTAAATTAAACTTAGTTCTTATTTTTAGTAATGAACACATTTGAAAAGGGTGTTTAATTTGAGACTGGAATTGAAAATCAGTGAACACTTCTTGCATATTAAATTTGAAATAACTCTCAATAGTCTTTTATATCATGTATGAGTTCTAAATTTTATGCAGCCAATTAGGAGAAAAAACTCTAATATATTTTATTATTATTTTATTATTGTAGATCATAGAAAAACGAGAAAGACGTAGAAACGTTGTGAAGGATCTATACGGTTTCCACTAACCTCCTCAATATTTCTTTAAAGGCGTGATTTATGCAAATGAGATATATTATATAAGTTTGGGTTTAGCGAGTTAACAAAAAAAGTAAAGTGAAGAGTTAGGCGAGTGAAGTCAAATGAATTAAAGCATCGGTAGATCAACACGCTGGGGTTGACAGTATTAGTTAGCAGTTACGTGACGAGCTACGCCGGAGAGCAGTAGATTGAAATTGGAAAAAATCCCGTATTACCGAATGTGGAGCCTTATCTTTATCCTACCCAACCAGTAAAGAATTCATCACCACGACGGAACAGCCGACGTTAAATGGATAATGTTAGTGATTTAGAATATTGTGAATACGTGTACGTGTTTTAGCTGTAATTGTACGTGTTTGATCTTTCGTGATTCAGTCGCGATTCCGTAGTTCCGCTAGTAGTAACTCCTTCTCATGCTCTACTGTGTTTTATTTCTCTTAAATTTGAATCGTGTGATTGTGGCCTTCCTGTGATTAATAAGCATCAATAAATATAGTGATTTGCAACTATGTCTCTTGATTTCTCTAATCCGCCTACACGTCCAGAAACATTTAACGGTAGACGGGGAGATGATAATTAGAGGGGAGAGTGTAATTTACGACGACGTAGAAAACGTAGAAAACATAGAAAAACGAAAGCGAGAGCTTTTATGTGCGAAACACCATTTTTTTAAAAGCTTTTATTTAACTTACAATGTATGTATGTATGTATGTATGTATGTATGTATGTAATTTGTTCGGGTGGAATCTTGCAACTCAATTTTGAAGCTGATATCTTCCTCCCATTGAGCTGAAATTTTGTATACACGTTTAGTTTGGATGACAATGCATGTTTTGACCATTTATA